AGAAGAACACAAATTCAGTTTCAAATGCATGCAACCACTCAACTTTTGATGGTGACAGTATTCAGTATTTTTGTCTCGTTTACCAGTAAAAATTATGACAGCAAGATTAATATGTATAAAAACAAAAACTGTTATTGTTATTAATATAATATATAATTTTATAAGTATTATATACTATTATAGTATTTAATAATATATTAACAATACTAAATTAACACTGTTTGTAGGATTTCTTCATTTTCTAGCAACAAAATTAACAGGATAAACATGAATGAATTCAAGAAATACATTTATCTAATAAAAACTATATATATATACAAACACGCACACAAAAAACATAAAATGATTAAAACTTAATAATTAAAATGAAAACAGAAAATATAAAAATTAATCATCAGTATTTTTGTCTTGCTTACCAGTAAAAATCTTAAAAAATAATATTTATTATTTTTTAAAAATTATTATTATTATGAAAACAAGATTAATATGTATTAAAAAAGCGTTTTTCATGAACCCTTGTTTTCAGAGAATACAAGTTTATTTGTCTTTTTTTTATATTGGTCTTTTAATAACGTCAACAGCAATTAAAAACAAGTGTGGCACTGCATACAAACCATAGATAAAAAAATATATATATAAAATAAAAATTATAAAAATGAAATAGAAATAATTAGAAATGAGAAATACAAATGTGTAATATTTTAATTATATCACTTTTAATGACATATATCAACGATAAAGTACAAACAAATGTCTAATATTTATCTGCATATATAAGCAATACATATATATGTGCAAATAATTAGGGGTGTGAAAACTTATTCTCACATTAAAGTTACACTCTGTGATCTTCACTAAATCCAAGAGACTAGTTTATTTTCTAACTGCATTAGCAAATAGTTTAATGCTTTTTTTTGATAAAGCTGATGGATTAATACCTAAAACAATTAAACTTCAATATGCTAACGGAATATAAAAAATCCAATGGTCCGTCACAAGCTTTTGCATCTAAAGCACATTTATCCTGTTTTAGAGATGTTTAACAATTTAATGTAATAGAAGATACTGCGCAGAAATAAAACAGCACTAAACTCATGCATCCAGCAGGTGTTTCATTTCAAAGAGTCTTTTTGTGGGAGAAGCTCAGCTAACCCGGTTAAACAGCTCGTAACAAGATCTGTTTAACACGTTTAATTCACATACACGGCAAATTCAGGAAGATATAGTGCTGAAAAGAGTTTTTCACTTGTTTAGGCTTCAGCAGCGAGACAAAATACACTCGTATTAAAGACACAATTTCTGAAAGCAACTCTTAATATCTTCTGCAGTGCTGAACCCAATCAAATCCAAACACATTTCAAGATCGACCAATCACACGCCAGCACAGGGACAGCTAGCCAATAGACGAGCAGCAGCAGCAAGAAAGATCTTTAACCCTTCAGACACTGACGTCAGGCAGAGTAGAAATATTTACAACCTCCATTGAACAGACTCTCACGATCTCATTTCATTAGCAAACAAACTAAATACTGAATCTGAGAGTCATGATATCGACATTGCAGGAAAAGAATAACGATAAAGAAATCAAACAAACCATAAAAAAATAAAATAAAATTTCAATACAAACTTTTACTATTAACTGAAATCAAATGACCAAAAAAAAATGTGTTTAAAGTTGAAGTACTAATATAATCAAAACTTTAAACTATATATACGTATTAAAAAAAACAATAACACTAAATCTAAAAAAAAAAACTAAAACTTTAAAATGAAAAAATAAAATACAAAATATAAACTAAAATATTATACTATGGAATTTTCAATTCTAGTATTTAATAGTATATTAATGATACTGAATGAAATAACACTGTTTGTGGGATTCCTTAATTTTCTAGCAATAAAATTAATTTAATATAATAAATGAAATCTGAGAAATCTGAGAGATTTATCTAATAAAAACGATATAAACATATTTTTTAAAAAATGCACACAACAAAATTACTAAAACTTTAATTAAAATTAAAATGAAATTAAAATAAAACTTTTCGTTTAGTTTAAGTTGAAGTACTAATATAAATAAAATTAAATAAAACTTAAGTAAAACTAAAAAAAGACATACAATTATTAAAACTTTAAAATTAAAATAAAAACAAAATAATTCATTCAAAATATTAACAAAAATATTATAGCACATAATTTCATAACTATATACTGTTAGAGTATTTAATAGTAGATTAATGATACTAAAAGAACACTGTTTGTAGGATTTCTTAATTTTCTAGCAATAAAAACTATATAAACATATTTAAAAAATAAATAAATAAATAAAGCCAAAAACACACAACAAACTTTCAACTTTAATTAAAATTAAAATGAAATAAAACAAAATTTTTTCGTTTAGTTTAAGTTGAAGTACTAATATAAATAAAACTAAATAAAATAAAACTAAAAACTTACAAAAAACTATATATACATATTTAAAAAAAACTAAAAAAGACACAAAATTACTAAAATTTTAAAATGAAAATAAAAAACGTATTCAAAATATTAACTAAAAAATTATAGTACACAGTTTTATAACTATATACTTTTACAGTATTTAATAGTAGATTAATGATACAAAAAAAAACACTGTTTGTAGGATTTCTTAAAGGTGACCTATTATGTCCCTTATGAACCAAAACGCGCCGTTTTTGTGTTTGTCCCTTTAAATGCAAATGAGCTGGTGCTCCGCCTTCCTTTTCAGAAGACAGGACAATATCACGCAATCTGACTGTACTGTGCAGCAAATGCGCGTTTATGAATTACACAGACGGGGAGAAAGCGGGGACATAGCTGGTCTCATGGTGCCTTCGCGTGCTATCACATCATGAGCTCGACAAATTCAAGCGGTTGACTTCACATTGCTTCCAAATGCAATTTTTAACTACAACATTCCTATTTACGATCATTCTGGAAGCACATGAAGGCAGCATTAGTGAAAACAGGCAGAGACGATGGCAGCTTTAGCAACATTAGCCTTACAGAGAGCCAAGAAGCTCTTTAGGAAAACAAAATATGACGCTTGCTTTGTCTGGATGTTCACGCACAAAGCATTTCCAGACTCTCTCTCACACACACACACACTCTCACTCACACACACTCACTCACACACTCTCACACACATACACACACACACACACACACACACTCACTGGAAACACTGGACAGTAACTATAACAATACAGTTTTAATGATCATTCTAATCTATGAAAATAATGAGCCCACAGCACAACTATAACGATAACAACACCGATGAACAGTATGGTTGGAATCACTCTGACAGCCAATCAGAATTTGATGATGACAAAAATACCACAACTACAGTACATTTAATCTGTTTTTCTTCCATTTTTACTTTTTTATTTATTTGAATTTATGATTACTGTTTGTTCAATTCATTTTTATGTAATGCACTTTGAATAGGACCCAAATTCCATTTTAATTTTTTCTAGATTCTGTTTTAATGGTTAAATTAAATGTTAGTAATCAGAAAGCATGCCTAATTAATTGAAATGATTCAACTTTATACAATTTAACAACTATTTATTAAAAGTTCAATAAAAATGACAATTTTAAGACTTGTATTTTTTCTATTCCCCAAATTCCGTTTTTTCCATCGAAATTTTTCAGTATTCCAATTTAAAATTAAAGTTAAAATGTGGAAGAAAAATGGTTTGATATTCCATAAAAAAATGATAAAGTTTGAATAATTTTGTTATAGTAATAATAATTATTATTATTAAGTATTGCGGAAATCATAGGGCGCTTGTCTGAGATGTGCTTTATAAATAAACGTGTTACTTCAAATGTCTTTTAATAAAGTCTAAACACAAAAAATGATGTTTACAAAAACAGATTTGTGTGCTTTCTGACAGACAGAAGAGTTTTATACAAACCTTTCCTTTATATCATCATGAGACAGAAAGACATGAGCATCTGGGATGACATGAGGGCGAGTAAATGATCAGGAGATTTTTATTCTGGAAGTGAACTGCCCGACTGAGAAACAATAGTATGGAAGTCCGTTTCCGCCACTGAATAAAAAATAAATAAGGTTATTACAACTTTATATCTCAAAATTCTGACTTTTTTTCTCACAATCGCAAGATAAAAACTTGCTATTCAGACTTTTTTCTCGCATTTTTGACTTTTTTTCTCAGAATTGTGAGATATAAATTCACAATTGCGTGTTATAAAGTCAGAATTGAGTGATAAGCTCAAAAATTCTGACTTTTTTCTCACAATTGCAAGATAAAACAATTCAGATTTTTTTTCTTGCGTTTTTTACGTTTTTTTCTTAGACTTGTGAGATATAAACCCGCAATTCTAATTTTATTTCTCGCAATTCTGACTTTTTCCTTGCAATTGCGAGTTTATATCTCAAAATTCTGACTAAAACTATTCAGATTTTTATCTCGCATGTTTGACTTTTTTTCTCAGAATTGTGAGATATAAACTCGCAATTCTGAAAAAAAAAAAAACGCAATTCTGACTTTATTTCTCGCAATTGCGAGTTTATATCTCCCAAATCTGAGAAAAAAAGTCAAACATGCGAGATAAAAATCTGAATAGTTTTATCTTGCAATTGTGAGAAAAAAAAATTACCTTTTTTATTTATTTTTGTTTCAGTGGCGGAAACGGCCTTCCATACTATAGTTCCGGGACGTATTTTTCAAGTAATTTTTAATGCATATTTTTCACAGTATTGGGTTTTTCATAAATTTTAGGATGGTCACATTTGGGGGTCCGTGACATTTAAAAGAGTTTAAAGTCTTGACTTAACCAGTATGAGTGATACTAGTTAGACTAGTTAGACTAGAGTAAGTCACACACATGAGGCGTGTTTACATAAACGTGTCAGAAACACGCGCGACATCCAGCTGTCAGTCAGCGCGAGCGAGCGAGCGTTATTGATCCGGATCCGGATCCGTTGCGAGCGTGACGCGCGGCTCTCTTACCTGCTTTCCTCGGTAGAAGAGCCTCTGCTGCTCGGGATTGACGTGGAAGATGTCGCGGATCTTGACGCGCAGCGACTCGATCTTCGTGAGGCGCGACAGATCCTCCACCGTCCGCGTCTCTTTGCCGTCGATCGTCCGGATCTGGATCCACATCGTCGCTCCGCGTCAACCAACCGCCGAGCGTCAAGAGCAGAGCGAGCGCGGAAAGTGCGTATGTTTGGGGGGCGTCGGGGGCGTCTGTGCGTGCTCCTCTGCGGGGGAAACGCGCGTCTCGCAAACGGGGGTCACGCCAAGTCTCGCGAGGCCTTGGGAAATCTCGCGAAATGTAAATATGCGGGGGGGGACTGCTTTTAAAGAGACAGAGACGCTTTAAAAATATTCTAAAGAGAAAACCTGTCAAAATGAGATTAATGTATCATATATATCTGAATAAGTATACAAATAAATCAATAAAAACAATAATAAAGGGCATCTAAAAAAGATTAGAGTAAACATGAGATTAATGTATCATAAGATTCATATATCTGAATACTTATTAAAATAAATAAATAAAAACAATAATAAATGACGTTTAAAAAGATTAGAGAAAAAATAGAAAATAGGATTAATATAAGTAAATAAATCAGATAAATAATTATAATAATGAATGAATTAATGAAATATTACATTAATTAGATTAAAATAAATTAATAATTAAAATAACATGACGATGATGAAAATATGTGGGGAAAGACAGATGCTTTAAAATTAAGCAATTTTTTTGTTATTTGTAAAACCGTAACCGTAATGTTTGTCTTTGATGAGTTTTCTAAAACTATTTTAAACAGTTTTTCGATGTATTATTATTCATAATTATTTATTAATGATATTAGTAAATAAAATGTATTACAATTAATCTTACTAATTATTAATATGTAATAGCATATTACTTTATGATTACAAATATAAATTAGGATAATTATAATAGTAGTTATTACAATTATAATTCATATTATTAATATTAATTAACAATACCATATTGATTAATAATGAATTATTTTGGATTATTATTGTTCACGTGGTTTTTGTGAGCTCATATTAATAGAGGGATTATTACATTTGTTCTATGAAATGATTTATGGCTGTTTAAGTGAACTGCTGAAAGATGATTTAAGAGAAATAGAGATCATTTAGGAAGTAAAAATCAACGTTCATAAACCGCATTGATCTCAGAATCAGGGTTTTGTTTTAGTTTTTATCATAACTGAATTATTCTGTGCATATGTGGAGGAAATTAGCATCTCATTATAGAAAGGTCATCAATGAACAAACTCTGCTGACCTCTGCTGGAGGGTCAAGCCAGGCGCTAACCAAAACTAGAGAACTAGTTAATGCCACTCAAACCGAGTAACCTTTCAGAATCAACGTCTGTAGGACTGCATGTAAATCTACAACTACCTGAAAAGCTTTTATGAAATGTATTAACTTATGCATACGACTGCACGGAATGTTTGTGACCATAAATGCATTAAAATTTTATGGATTTGCATAAGTTACAGTATGTTCAGACTACTCTGAAGTTTTGTGAGCTTCCATAAAAGCAAGTACTTTATTATAATTAAAAATAAATATAATAATTAATATTAAAAATAAAATGTTAATATTTAAACAATAAATCTTGTGCAATTACTCGGCATCTGTAACAACGAACGACTTTGAACTCTGAATAAACAAAGAGAAATAAATAAATGAGATTACAATAAATAAGTAGAATAATAACTTAATTATGCATCAAAAACATTTAAAAAATAGATTAAATAAAAATAAGTTTATATAGATTTAATTACATTATAAAAAGCTGAATAATAAATAACAATTAAGACATATTAAAGAGAATGAATAAACAATAAAGAGAAGTAAATGAGATTACAATAAATAATTAGAATAGTAATTATACATTAAAAAAAATTTGATTCAATAAAAATACGTTTATATAGATTTAGATTATAAAATAAACTGAATAATAAATAACAATTAGACGTATTAAAGAGAATGAATAAACACAGAGAAATAAATAAATGAAGTTACAATAATTAATTAGAATAATAAATAATTACATGAAAAAGATTAAATTAAAATGCATAATTCAAATAAATACATTTAAATAAATAAAAACAAACTCAATATCCAATCAAAATCAAGAGCATTGACATTATAGAAAATGAAACCTCATGTGGATAAGAAAGCACATAACACACGTCTGTCTTTAAATAATATTTTTATTATCACAGAAGCTGTATATGTACCACTACAGAGGAGAACGAGGCTCCAAACGATGCGAGAAATAAACGATAGAGGAACGCGAGTAACAGCACAGCGACACACAACGAAACCCAAACACGCTTCTGATATACAAAATCAAGACCGAGAGCTTTGGATGCGTCGACTTCGTTTCCCATCAAGGTTTGTACCAGTCGAGTCGCATTCAGAGAGAAATCAATCAATCACACGTTAAAGATTCATCACGATTCACTCCAAAACGTGTCTGAAAAACTACAAACGGCATTCCGAGGTAAAAACGGACCGTAAACGTTGAACGCCTCAGAAACCTACAATCACGGGCTTCAACATTAGAGGGTTAGTTCAGCTAAAAATGAAAACGCTGTCATTAATTACTCAGCATCGTGTCGTTCGAAACCCGTAAGACCTTCGTTCATCTTCGGAACACGATTTAAGATATTTCTGATGAAATCCGAGAGCTCTCTGAGCCTCCATAGACGGCAAGGTAACTACCACGATCAAGGTCCAGAAAAGTACCAAGATGATCGACAAAGCAGTCCGGTGTGACATCAGCGGTTCAACTGTGAAGCTACGAATCTACGAGAATACTTTTTCGCGCAATGAAAACAAAAATAACGACTTTATTCCACATTTTCGTCTCTACTGCGTCACTTTGGACGCGGGTTCACGACACGAGAGCGTGTGCCTGCGCTGACCCAGATCCGGCGAAAATTTGGAATAAATTCGTTATTTTTTATTCTCGTAGCTTCACAGTTGAACCGCTGATGTCACACCGGACTGCTTTGTCTTGCCGTCTATGGTGGCTCAGAGAGCTCTCAGATTTCATCAGAAATATCTTAAATCGTGTTCCGAAGATGAACGAAGGTCTTACGGGTTTCGAACGACACGATGCTGAGTAATTAATGACAGCGTTTTCATTTTTAGCTGAACTAACCCATTAAAGAGCAGAAATAAACATCCAATCAAATGCAGAAATGACCTTTTGTACATTCCAGATAATCAAACATTGTAGAAACAAAAACACAAGCATTAAAAGCAAACCGATTCACTTGACGAACGAGTCAAACAGCACGCCAACGACTGCGCGGGTCCGTCTGAAGCCTGTAGACGGAGCGCGTCTGATGAAGGAATGAGAGGAGACTAATCTTCGTCCGAGGAATCCCTGTCAAAGTTGTAGGCCATGAAGAGAACGTCAGGTCGAGCGGGGACCAGAGCGTGGCCCGGTTTCACCATCTCAAAGCCCAGAAAGCTGAATGTACGCACCAGTTTCACTAGAAGAGGAACACACACACACACACACACACACACACACACACACACACACGTCAGTGCAGCACACGCATGAGAGACGGAGGTCTGAGCAGAGTCTGACATACCACGATCGTCCCTGTTCTTATAGAAGCAGACGAACACACTGACGACTTTCAGATGTTCTTCAGCAAACTCCAGCAGAGAGACGAAGCTGGAAACAGCAGAAACACACAAGCGCTTCGGGATTAATACGATAAATCAACTAGATTTGTGCTGAACGGCAGTCTAGATGCCATGGAGGAGCCCCATCCTAACGTGTATAAGAATTAAGCATTAAAATGTATAAAAACCCAAATTATACTGTGAAAAAAGCTATAAATACCTGTAAAATGTTATTTGGAAAAATCACATTTTTTTCTAGTTATAGTACTTTAAAAAAAAATGTTTTTAATCTAATTTGTATTCTATATTTAATGTCAAATTTGTATTTATTTTTATTCAAATTTGTATTTATTAATTTAAATATTTTAAATTTATTTTAATCTAATATTTAATTTTAATGTACTTTATTTAATTTCTTATTTATTTTAAAATAATTTATATTAGATATCTTTATGTACTATACTACATTATGTATTATTTACCATTTAATATTCTATTTCTATTTTAATCTAATATTTCATTTTTTTATCTAATTATATTTTTAGTCTATTTTTTTCATTATTTCAATCTAATTTATCCAATTTGTATTATTTATTAATTTAAATCTCACTTTTACTAATTATTTTAATATAATACTTTATTTCTATCATATATATTATTTTGCTGTAATATTTTATTTTAATTTTTTTAATTACATTTAAATTTATTTAAAATTAAAATTCAATTTATTTTAATTTCATTTTTTATTATTTATATTTCATCTTTCATTTTTATTGATTTCAACTTTTTAAATTTATTTTACTCTTATTTTTTTTATTTTCCCTTTTTTCTCTCTCTCTAAACATTTCCACGGACCCCCAGCCCTCCCTTGTGGCCCCTAGAGGTCCCAGGCCCCTGCTCTAGATGTTGTGGGTGGTTGTCAGGGTGTTGCTATGGTGGTTGCTAGGCGCTCACCTCTCTTTGCTGCCCTCTGGAAACGGTTCGCAGGGAATCTCCACGAACAGGCCGGGGCCTCGAAGCACCGCCTCCCATTTGATCGCCCGGGAAACGGTGGGCCAGCTCTGAAAGTGCAGTATCCGGGGGCAACCGGCCCCAGCAGGCTCTTCGGTCACAGTCAACTTCCTGTCCTGTGGAGCCAATCAGAAGACGTGTTTGTTAGGGACACACAGACACAGGATACAGTATATTCCTGAGCAGCAGAGTGTATAGTGTGGTATGTAGCGTGTAGTGTGCAGTATGTAGTATGCAGTGTGTAGAGAGTAGTATGTAATGTGCAGTAAGCAGCGTGTATAGTGTGGTATGTAGCGTGTAGTGTGCAGTATGTAGCTTGTAGTGTGTAGAGAGTAGTATGTAGTGTGCAGTATGCAGCGTGTATAGTGTGGTATGTAGCGTGTAGTGCGCAGTATGTAGTATGCAGTGTGTAGCTTGTAGAGTGTAGTATGTAGCGAGCAGTATGCAGTGTATAGAGTGTGGCTTGTAGTGTGCAGTGTGTAGATACTCACTGAGTACAGCTGCGGTGGTGCCGCTGTGGATGTGTGATCCCGTGCTCCATTCCCTCGCCCACCTGGGATCTTCAGAGGTGGGTGAGGGGCATCAGGAGCACCACAGAGGCCCTGGACCAGTGGAACTACTACAGCACAGAGACAGACTGAGGAGAAACACAGAAATACAACATCACCACAGACACAACACACACACAGCAGAGGAAGTCGATCAGCCGAGACACACACTGCTCTATGAGCGTCAACAGGAATTACACACACATTTTTACAAACATTAGCTGCCAGG